CTTAACTGTTGCATTTACCAGTCTTAAACGGCGCTCGAATTATTGGCTAACGTTGTCTATACATAATCGTGCGAGTCTTGTCACCCTTTACTTTTTTTTTATCAGAGCGGCACAAGTACAACCGAAAATGAAAAATTGTATGGTGTTAGGTCATATCCGTTGCGAGATGTATTTTAGTATCGACTTGTAGTATTGAACTGAGTATACAGATACATACATACACGCGCACTCGGCATTGAAAGCTCGAGGAGAATCTGCGATTTTAGAATCTCCGGTTTAACGATAATTTTAGTAAAAGGCAAACTCTAAGCTAAATGAACCGTTTAAACAGGACAATATAAGCGCGATTGGGCATGGATTAATTTATTTGTATCTTTAAAAAAAAATTAAGCCCTGGGAGTATATAAGCGTCTTGTACATTCTGTGCCAAAGTTCACCTAATCACTGTGTCTCTTTGTAACTCGATTAATTTCAAGAATCAGGCTGCCAATATTCTTTCCCGCTTTTGAAGATACTTGCATGGATTTGTGACATCTCAAGTCCGTGAATTTCTTTGTACCAATTAACGTGAGAGAATATTTTTATATAAACTCAGGTGACAACTGTTAGTCGAAAACGTTATGGTTGTTCACTCGCGTCAATTGGCGTTTCCATTATTCAGTATTAGTCTATTTGTAATTACGCGCAAAGTATACTTATGTTCGGAGTAAAGAGACGCAGCGCTCAGTTGAGGCTCATTAACTTGCTTGTGACATTACCGACTCTCTTAAAAGTAATTTGTAAATCGATTTTATAGTCTTCCTCCTCGGGTACTCCTGTTCGTACGTTTGGCTTAAATAGCTGATGAAAATCATTGCTGCATCTCTACTTCTTAAATTCTGACCCTTATGTCAATATATGTATAGTTACATTGAGCTAAACTCTGGTATGTGATTACAGGTAAACAACAAAATAAACAAGACGTATGCACACAACTTTCGGCGTATTTTACAGTATTATGTAATTTTGTACAAAACTACAGGTCGATTTTAGATATATAATCGGGACTCTACGTAAGAGCGCAATATTGCCGGGTCGAAGGCCAAAACAAATGACCGTTTTCAAATTAACGAAAAACATAGGGGAAAAAAAAACCGTAACAATTTAACGCGTTACGTGAAAGACAAGGGATTACGTACGACGCTCGTAGCAACGCTTCTTATCGAGTAGAGGCGATCGTTTAGATCTTTTAGATTCCGTGACCGTTATAAAAGAAAGGATTTCGTAGATTTAAGGTTTCATTGGTTTGTAGCGAGTAAGAGATCGAGAAATGGAGCCCGTTCGTTGGTGGTTGAAAGTCCATAGCTGAGGGGTTTCGGATGTGATTTTCCACTCCGCCAAAGTGGTACCCTACTCTATTTTTAACGGAAAATCACGTTCCTCCGGGACGGCCGAATCTTCCTCAGCTATTTTATGTGTACAAAACGACGCAGCTGCGAAAGGAATAATTTAAATGAGTAATAATATGTCGTTGATTGTTTGTGAATGCTGTCGGCACGGGGTCACCATTTTGGGAGTCGTTCCGTATGACTTAAGGCGATGTGAAAGCGACGTCAAAGAGGTCTCGTTTATGAAACTTCTCCAAACTGGGTGTACCGAATCAATTCAAACTTTACAATATAAATATAGAGGGTACCAGGAAGGTCCTGAGACTCATTAAATTTCAATTCTTTTTCAATTTGTTTATAGATATTATCAAACTTCTTGATAAAAAGTGAAATTCCATGGGTGTACGGACCTTCCTTATAGCCACCACGTTCACGTTATAAAGTTTGAAACGATTTGGTACACCCAGTTCGTAGAAAAGTTTCACGAACGATTGACCCCTCGAATGCCGCTTTCACAGCCCCTTAATCTCCGTTTCTGCAAATTTGTTGATCTCCCATGATATTTGATCCTGATTTGCACACGGATTGGATTATGTATGTATGTACAGCGACTTAACATACACGGAGACGCCACTGACGAATATTGTTCGAATTACAGTTAGTCAATATTCATGTAAACGTTGAGTCGTGCCTCTTCTCTATTTCTCTAACAGTGAATGTTTTTTTCCATCGTTGCTAGGGAGGAATGATAATGGTAGTATTTAATTGCTTGGCTGGACAATGCTCACAAGTTTCCAGAAACCGATTGTAGTTGACGTTATCACGCGGGCAAGATTGCGGATATTTTTTTTTATCAAATCAAACGATCTTAGTGAATCCTGGGTATGTCCTAACGGGCACTTCACAATGCGGACCGACTTTGCACCGAGTCTGCAAGTTGCGTGTGTGGACACCTATAAACGACATTCACGAGTGTACCAGATCGGACTAATTATTTAGTCAGCATCGGGTAATTGTTATCTCAGGATTTCGAGACGCGCAGAAAAGAAATCCGCTAACTTACGTACAATGGCGGGCATGAATGCCTCCCCTGCAGATACGGCATCGCCTGTGCAGGTTGGGAGGGCATTGATGTCTCCCAGTGCACATGTCTCGAGTCCGCCGTAGTGGTCATCGATATTATGAAACTATGAAGAAAGGGATGTCTGGTATCGGGTAAAGCTCGAGACGTATGGAATGAAATTCATATAAATTTGAAACGATTTTCAATTTTCTTCAACTTAACTTCATCGAACTTTTCTTATTCATGTTAGGTGAAAGACTTTGGAAGAATTAAGAACATTCTTGTACCGAAATAGAGTCTTGTAGAATTTTGTAAATGTTCAGTAAATGTGACGTTTTATCCCAAAACTTCGTTGTTCAACGGTGAACTCGTTCTTGCATCGACTTGGAGAATATATTTTATCCAGAAAGTTATATGACTTTCATTAATATTCTCAACGTCCGAAGCCAATTCTGTACGTATTTTTTGTTTCTTTTCATGAAATCGTTTCCACTTGATACGACATTATCACTTGACTTGCAACGTCGATGATTCCAACAAAATCAATTTTGATGGTCATTTTCCGTTGCTAACGTTCTCGCCTGTTATAACGGATATAAAAACAGTCTAAAGTATACGGTAACTGTTACTGTTATTTGCAATTTGTATGTCCTTAAAAACAATGTCTAACCCAATCTCATGATCTTTATAACTTTTGGCACGTGTTATGTCGTACTTAAGAAAAGGCGCCGAATAAACGATTGGCTGTTCATGAATACGAGATTGCGCGCGTGTGCTTAGTAACGAAAAATGGCTGCCATAGTTCCCTCTCCCTACGTTTCGAGCTTTAGTCCTCGTCTAAAATGTCTATGCTTCCCTGTTTCTTCCTAAATCTATAGATTATGATCAGTGCGCAAGCGATCGCAGCGCTCCGTATAGGGCACTCGTTAAGTGCGACATTGAAATTCTCCAAGAAGCCCCCTACAATAAATCGCTGTACTATTTCATTAAAATTCTTTAAGGTGTTGCGCATTAATCGATATCGAAATTTCAAATACGTCGATCATTAAGGGAATGTGAAAGTGGCATCTGAGAAGCCAATCGTTCGTGAAGCTTTTCTACGAACTTTGTGTGCTGAATCGTTTCGAACTTTACAAAGTGAATGCGAAGGCTATAAGAAAAGTCCGGACCCTCATAAAATTTCATTTTTTTTATAACAATTTTTAAAGATATGAACAAATTTTACAAAAATTGAAATTTTATGAGTTTTGGGACCTTCCGGCATACCTTAGATATTTCTATTGTAAAGTTTGAATCAATTCAGTACACCCAGTTTCGAGAAATGTTTCATGAACGAGAACTCTTTAACGTCACTTTCACATCGCCTTAATCCGAGATCTTGTTATTCGTGTCGCGAATCCTTAGTGAAATGACTTTGGAGCGTTGCAACTCAGGTAATGTTCATTCATTTATGGTCGTCCATGCCTTTCCAATTAATCAAGTATGAACGACAGATTTTAAGTTATGCTTGTCTGTTAGTCATTGAGTAAATACTCGATTCGTTTGGTTTCCTTATTCTATTTCAATCTATGCACTGCCTGTTTGACAGTTGCATCGAAGAATTGCAAGCTTTGAACAAGCGATCCATGAACATCATGAATCCTGAAAACTAATCAGACTGGTAACAATGGCCGGTCTGTTAAAGGCACGTTCATTCTTCTTCATCAGACGAGGAATTCTTCCTTCCGTAGAAAATGCTCTAAAGTCATAAAAACCAACCATGTGAGATCTCTATGTCAATGACTAAAAAGTGCAGTAAACGGGGGCTCTGAGAAAACATGAATTAAATCAATGTATCTTTCATGATTTAAAAACCGACGTCCTGAAATTCTAGTTCGAAAGTTCTAGACCGGAAACCACTATAACATCGTCGAATATTTTTCGGAATTGATAAGCGCGGATTCCGCGTATAGGGCAACAACGGAGATCTGAAAAGGCCTCCTCGCGACATTTATGATTGTATGACTTAGTAAAATTCCTCAGCTGGGTAGAGAATACAGGAAAAATGTTAACACTTTGCGCATAACTGCATTAAGTCCACCACAAAGATCGCCCAACAGTGAGCGCAGCGCCCCGCGCGAGACGTGTGCGAACTACTACGTTGAAATCCTCGAAAAGGCCAATACGAAATCTATGAATGTAGCTCCGAGTGTTCTCGGGTTTGCATATTCTCGCCGTGTTTCTTGGGCGAACCTCTTTTTCGATTACTCCGAATAAATCGTCAAAATTGATTGTTATCGGTGTAAATTGTATGTATTAAAAGTTATTATTATCGATTATTGTATTAAAAGAAAGATGGTGACTATTCGAAGTATTATTGTGCTAATATAAACAGGCTCTATTGGCCAAATTATTGGGAATAGATGTTCATTCTTTCCATGTCCTCGTTTTAAGTTAGCTTTTATCAATTCACGCAACGTAATCGAAGAAACGACGACAGAGCTTCGGGTTCACTTGCATATTAAAACTATTGACACGCATGTCATGTATAATAGTACCGGTTACATCTAAAAGTGTCATTTACGAGAATATAGAAATTGTTGATTTCTTTATTTACAATACAACTAAAACAAGTAATGTTTTGGAAATCAAGTTCTTTCTTTTTCACGACGCAATTACGCTATAAAATAAAGCCTGATATGATCATCAGCAAATTGTGATGCCAAAAATTCGGTTCACTTCAGTCCATTTGTAACGCTACTTTTAAATTGTCATTGTAGAGTACAACACAAATACTCGAATGAATGCTTGATTGAAGTCTTTGTTTGTTTGTTTGTTTGTTTGTTTTTGACAATTATTCTGTCTGAATTCTTGATATCAAGCACACCACGCTGAATTCTTGTACATTTACAACTCACCTGTTAATACAATCCAAATCGCATGATAAAGATTTCTTAAATTTACTTTTGTATGTACAATAATTCCACATGTATTATTATAATACAAATATGACATATCAATTTCATTAGCAACTGTAAAAAATGTCAATTTTTGAAGAACTGAAATCATTAAAATGCTAGAGTAATGCGAACGTCTCATTTCCACTTGTTGGATTCAGATTGATATAAAATCGTCAAATCAACAAATTCACCAGAATATCATACTATATGTACATTTATATTAGCACACTTCCATATTCATTTATAGAATTTTCTTTTGCACCTTATTGTGATGTATTAGAACAGTTTTAGGAAGGAAAGACATTGCAAATACACAATTCCATTAAAATAATTATAACTGGGCGTCATTTATAGAGATCTATTATGCAGGAAGTGGAAAGTACTACAGAATTGTACGTGTAACAATTGCGATCCTCATATTTCAACTGTTACGTGCTTCACGTTAAAAAAAATCGGTCACGTTTGAAACTTGCCTGAGACGAACGGTTTCAATTTAAAAACAATAATTAAAATCATGGTTTTACCGTCGTCTGTTACATACCCTTTCCCTTTACATATTCATAAACGTTAAAATATTAATCTAAGTTCTCCCAGAGCATAAAATTACCTACTGTGTATTTACTCTTTAGGTAATTGCAGTTACTTTAAAATTGTGTGAACGTGACTGGGATCATCGTCATGTTCATTTACTTTTATAATAGTATACCATGATTTTGTCTTTCTCATATTAGAAAAATTCAAATTAATATGCACACGTAGTTGGCTGATATTTAAAAAAAAAAAAGTGATTACCGCATTACTTGCGTTCTTCAGTGAATTCATCATGGGGCATACAAATTTATTAAAGGTCGTGTCATTGAAATATTACCGTTATTATGCCAATCCCATTCTAAAGCAATTAATGTTGTTGACATACCTGGAAAACTTTTTTCCGAAATAGAAAATGCATGCATTCTTTCTACTAGATCTCTGGACGCTCAGTTATACCTATTCAGTTGCATGCAGCGGATGCTATGAACAGTAGCATAACTCAAAATAATTCACATACCGTATTTATGCGCAAACACAAATGCAATGATCTTAGAAATAAAAAGTTGAGTTTATGTACTCCTGCCTCCGTTATCTTGCCCGGCATCTATATTGAATCATTGCAATTACTCTTGCAAATTGAAAAACGAGTGTCAAGATACTAAGAAGGCTGCTTTGGGCGTTTCTTCGCACGATTGTTGGAATATCAATTACGTCATTCTAAATCCGAATTTTGTGCGTATTTGTCGTTTTTGACTTCTATCCTTAGAGGTGATCGACTTTTCGCTTGATGATTCAAACGGGTACGCAAATCTACACCTCTAAAGGTTTCTCTCGTTTTCCCTCTATAAGAACGGCTGAAATAAAATGTACAGCACATATAAAAGATTCTATTTAAACAATTAACAAAGAACGCGTTAGTTGTAAAATTGACTAGAAAAACTTACTCTTGCTTCAAGAAGCTGTCACTTGAATCACTTTTCGTGTGATTTAACCTAGCCCATACAGTGGAGGCTAACCGTGGCTTACGTGGTACGACCTTTATTACGCTGCCTTTCGGCCCTTGTATTTCTTTCTCTGACAGTTCACTATCTTCACTATTCTCCTCTTCTTCCTCTTCTCCATCTTCATCCTCCTCCTCCTCCTCGTCTTCTTCCTCCTTTTCTGCGATCTGAATCTTTTCACTCTCGATCCATTGTTCTTCAATTTCCTTCTGGTCATCATCATCTTCGATTTCACCTTCTTCTTTCTGAAATACAGTTGATACAAGTTAATTAGAAATACGATTAATCTGTTAGGATTATTAATCAGGTCGGTTGTCATAAAAATTATAAAATAGATGAAACATATATATGCATTTTGACTCCTCGTAGCCCCACTTACATCCGATTTATCATCTCCAACTAACTCAACTTTCATCATTTGTGTGTTCGGTACCACTACTTGTATTTTCTCAGGGTACATTGAGAAGTTTTTTCCTTTACAAAGCCGAGACCTCAAATCAGTATTTCTGTCTGTCATAGTTTTCATCTGTTGCAAGAAAAATGTCAATTTATCGGTTACTTTGATTCTTAAATAGTGAAAAAGAAAAATAGCATTATTTACTCGAATGAAGAATAAAATGAAAAGTAGGAAAACAAGCTAGTGTTTAATCAACTATTAGCAATCTTAACTTTAATTCTTTATCCCATTAAAGAGCTTACCTGATGTTGAAGTTTACTACGACGTTTTTTAAGTTTCTCCTCCTCGTCATCAGCATGCATTCGCATTCGTAAACCTTTATTTCTCTTACACCACTCATCGTCACTGTCACTCTCATCGCTAGTATTTGAGTCAGATATCACTATTGGGTCTTCCTTTGCACATTTGAAGCCCAGCCTCTCTTTAATACCACTTCCATAATCTTTGGGTGGAGGGTTTCTCTGTGGAGCTTCTTCCATCGAGTCATAGATGCCCCAAGTTTGTGACAACGATCCCCAAGGATTCTTTTTGCGTTTCACGTCAGTTGCCTCGCCTTCCACGGAACTTTCGCGTGCCCTTCTTTTCGTCTGTCGGGTTTCCTTGTACATACGCTTCCGAGACTCAGTTAAAATACCTTTCACCCCTACAAACACAATTCCCTCAGAATTAAAATTTCTTTCATAGGATACAAAAACAAGTGAAAAAAGAAAAGCTAAACTGATCCTGAGTAAAATAGTAGCTGTTGAGTAGTTTCAAAATCAAATGCTCTGTTTTTGTTACGTTATTATTATAGAAGCCCTTTAGGTACATTACCATTTTGATTGGGTTGACAAAAATTTGACCAATTGCACACAAAAATGATACAGCATTTGATTCCAATATAAGTTAACAGCTTATTTACTAAAATCATATTTCTTTACCTCCAAAGTTTGGATTTCCATATTTCTTGTAGTAATCACTCATTTTTTCAGCTTTCGGTTGCTTTTTGTCAGCACGAGTAGCAAATCTTAAAAAAATTCCCTTGCTCTTTGCATGATTAATACCTTTCCTCCATTGACCAGGAGGCAATGGACAATCGATGTCTTTAAGGTTTATAGTATTATCTTTTTCATTTGTTACTTCATCTGATGATCCACTACCTTGAACAACTTTAACTAAACACTCATCACGGGATACTTCATTCTTGTCATCCAAATTACTTTTCTCAACGTGACTGTTTTCTTCAGATTTTTCAGATGCTCCAACTATCTTTTTTGAAAGTCCCAATAAAGCTCTGGCTGCTGATATATTATCCAACCATACTACATTACCTGTGTAATAATTATATGTCTTTATATTTGAGTTACAGTAAAAAATTGGATGTTTATAATCAAGCAGAATAACACTTGAAAAAATCAGTTACAATAGCAAGCTACATTTCTCATGAATTAATTCTTGTTTCCAAAATGTTCCTATATTCTAAAAAACAACTATTTTTTTGGTAGCATCCTGCCTGTGTTTAAACAAACATCTAGACAAAATGACTCGCACAACTGATATTTAAATAATATGACATAATTTCAGTTCAACAGAAGAGTTTATCCGTGCAAATAATAACTCATAAATTAATAAGCTCAACATAATCTTTGTGTTTTATAAATCTCACATGAAACATCATTTATCCATTCGATTGAAGCAGGTGCATAGTCTTTAAAATATGTAAAGACATCCTTCGAGCTCATGTCTTCAGTGCCTCGCATGTGAATAACATTTAATCTAAGATGTTTAGAATTCTCTCCATCTTCTGTCACTCCCATGCTGAAAAAACGAATACAAAAATTATAATGACTAATAATGGATACAAGTATAAACGTAACACATATGCTGACCATTAAGAAAACAGACGGCAATCACATGTATTACTTTATAAAAAAATTACTAAGGGAAAAATATTTTAATAAAACCTTGCATATAACTCTTCTGCTTCGTTAGCAATGACGCTTTGCAGCTTGTCTTTCAATCCAAATCGCTTAGCACGTTCTTCCATTTTTAGTTTTTCCTCTTTACTGAATATATCGATACCAGTAGTAAATGTTCCCCCACGATTTTCATATCTCGTATCAAGAACCTAAAAATGAAGTATAAAAGAAACATAACTTGCACATATTCCTATTTTACGGACTAAATAAATTTGTATTATCTAGGTCTAAACAATGGTAAAACTTAAATAAACACATTCATTAATTGTCTCGATTCTAAAATTACTGGTACACCGTATATTTATTTTTACTTAATCCTTTAAACAACATGCGTTCCTACTGTTCACTGGATCATAATAATAATAAGTAAACATAACTCACTTCAGGCATTGTAGGTAAACTTGGAAGTATGAGATCTTTCGAAATTTTTGCTCGTAATGTCTGTTCAGCAGATTCATCATGTTTAATATAATCAGTGAATACGTCCACGTCCATTGGTTCCTCGAACTCATCCATTTCGTTGAAAAATAATAATAACGTCCAAACGAGTAAAACGGAGGCTTTCAGGCGTGTGTTAAATACTTCTTTCCAAAGATTTTGTGAGCACAGATTCACATAAACTTCGTAAGATTTGAACAAGCACACGCTCACAAAAGGTTAAGGTTTACAAAATATGAATAAGTTCTTAAAACCTCAATTAACTTATTGCTTTCGTAAAGTTACTGAAACTATACGTCACTGACGATACAATTATCTTAGTTGGACGCTGCACAGCTTCACATTATCAGCCTCAAGTAGAGCGCCATAAAATACGAACTAAAGGTACCTTTTCACTTGATGTTATGTTGCGTTTCCATGGTTGCATGGTACGTATCAAAACGCTTTGATTGGCTCGCCATTTTGCTACGAAATCTTGAGCAGGCCTTAGCAGAATTAACCAGAGTTTAATTAGTTTACAATAGGTTTAAACCGGATGTAAACTAGTTGAATTTCGAATAATTCGAATTGTAGAACAGGGTCTTACACATTATTTTGGAATCAATGGATAACATGTGAACTCAAGGTGATATGACAAACGCTGAAAAAGTATTTTTCATATTTTACCATCTAACTCGACAATATTCCATTTCTGTAGTATTCTAAATTATTCGAGATAAATCCTGAAACTTTTAATTTTCAAGTCTAAGCTTTCAAAAAGGGTAAAACATTAAAAATGTACATGGACGACGTAGCGTTGATTCTAGTCCATGATAAATAAAAAACTTTTGTATAGAAAATTAAATTCTATTAGTTTCAGGACCTACTTCAAGGCCTCTACAATCACATGGCAAAATTTGAAACGAATCGGTACAGCCAATTCGGATAATATTTTCACGAACGATTAGATACATAATTCTTAGATATGTAGACTGACCCTTTCATATCATCTTAAAGGGTAATACGAAGAGTGTCCATGCTAGATATAGAACAGTTTGATCATGATGCCAGTAGATGGCTGTAATATAACGGGAATGAAGCATTGACGGACACTCTTTGTTACTCTCTGATACCAGATTTATAGAAAATCAAGGAAAAACATACGTGATCATACGCGACATGTGTGTATCCGGTGCAATCTGGTGTATACTGTAATTAAAGCAAATACCGTATCACTGAATGTTTATATGGTCAGAGTTACACATAAAAAAGAAAACATCGAACTATTTTAGGAATTACGAAATAATGATAAAATATTACTGTTTCGAATAATCAAGATGCCTGTGCCTTGTTCGACAAAGTGTGGCAAGGCTGCAATCCTTAAAGTATAATATTTATTATTCAGTCACAATTTGTTGCTTATATTTTTATAGGAACTACTCTAATCTATGGCTACTTGTTAGTCAAAGCAGTGTATTATCATCATTCATAAACAGCGACATTATTGTTATTTCAGAGGCCTAAGACTGGCGATGCGATATGCAAGGACTGTTTTTTCTGGGCTTTCGAAACTGAAATTCATAACACTATTACATGTGCGAAACTGTTCAAATCAGGTGAAAAAGTTGCAATAGGAGCATCGGGTGGAAAGGATTCTACTGTACTTGCTTATGTTCTAAAACTTTTAAATGATCGGTATAAGTACGGTCTGGACCTCTTCCTTTTATCCATTGACGAAGGAATTACAGGCATGTATACCTAGGGTCTGTTCAAATATGGAATTCTTCATTACATTTTGCATTATGAGCAAAATTCAGAATATGAACTTATAGCCATTTTCTTAAAGAATGCTCTTTTTACATTTAGGTTACCGCGATGATAGTCTAGAAACCGTTAAGCAGAACAGAGATGATTACAACATTCCATTGAAAATATTATCATACAAAGATTTGTATGGTTGGACAATGGATGAAATTGTGGCACAGGTAAAGCTTATTTATTACTTATTGAATCAATTAAATTATGCTGCAAAGTTATCAATCAATTATTTTTAGATTGGTCGAAAAAACAACTGTACTTTCTGTGGTGTATTCCGTAGACAAGCTTTAGACAGGGGTGCTGCACTTTTGCAAGTTGATTGCATTGCAACAGGGCATAATGCGGATGACACTGCTGAAACCGTTCTTATGAATGTATTAAGAGGAGACATTGCAAGGCTGCAAAGGTGTACATCTATTGTCACGGTAATTATAAATTCCTTCATATTAGTACATTGCTTTTAAATACAAAATAATTTTTTACACTTGTACACTGTTAGAACGTAACATGAATTTTATTAAGTGCAAAATAAATATCAGTGTAAAAAGGCATATCAATAACCATATTTGCAAACCATATTTAATCATAACACATATGTATATATTAAAAACTGATAACATACAAGACCATCTTAAATATTGTAACATAGTTGATCTAGATTGGCATAGTAATAGAGAATATATTAAAATGTATGTATTAGTAATTTGCCACAAAACTCTACCGAGTTTCCTGATATATAATGCATTTTCATTATTAATATTCAGTGCCATAAAGAATAATTGACCATGATGTGTTCATAGGCAGGTGAAGGAACTATAAGACGATGCAAACCGTTAAAGTATACATATGAGAAGGAAATAGTTTTGTATGCATATTTCAAACGCTTGGTATACTTTTCTACCGAGTGCGTTTTTGCTCCAAATGCATACCGGGGCCATGCTCGAACATTTTTAAAAGATTTAGAAAAAATAAGGCCTTCTTGTATTATAGATATCATCCATTCAGGTAAGCTACAGTTGCTTTATCGATGATTTATTTTTCTTTTTTAATTATAAAAATATTTGCTTTAGGTGAACGATTGCAAGTAAAGGATGGTGTCAAGATGCCAGAACGACAAAATTGTAATCGTTGTGGATTTGTTTCAAGTCAGGATATTTGTAAAGCTTGCACGCTGTTAGAGGGATTGAATAGAGGGCTGCCAAAACTTGGCATAGGTAAATCAAATAAAGCTAAACACATTTTGGACAATAATAAATGTAAAGAAGGTGTAAGTAAGGTAAAATGTATAGAGATTTGATTATAAACAAAATAATGTACAAAAAAGTGTGTATATGTATTCACTTTCCAATTTTATTTAAATAATCTTAGATCTTTATGAAACCTTTAATTTTACTTCTGGTTTATGATCTATTGTTGAATAATTTTACTAGTAAAATAATGAGTGCCTTGATTGATCATTACCCCCAGACTGTAAATAATTCAAAAACTATTTACCATAATAATCATTGATTGTACTCTTTATTACGTTTGTATTTTGAACCTAGAGGAGCACACACACACACACAGGAAATGCATAATTTGTTTCATATTTTATTATAAAACTTACTAAGTGTATATTCACACAAGATTTTGAGTTTCAATTGTATTTAAACAATGTAAGCAGCTTGCTTAGATGCAACAGATCTTCTGCAGATGGGGCAGAGATTAGAAATATTTTCGGCACAATCCTCACACAAACATACATGCCCACATGGTAACAAAATAATTTCACGTGGATTCGTACGACAAACGACACAAAGCTGATCCTCTCTAAGATCGAGATCTCGTACTCTTTCCCTTCTTTGTTTGCGAGTATTTTCTAAAGCTAGTCGAAGTTCTTCAGCCAGTCGCCGCTCTTGTCCATCTTTCCAATACCGCCTGGCTACAAGTCCACCAATGACAAGACCAATACTTCCAAATATTAAGCACCACCATCTGTCACAAAAAAAAAGAAATAGTAAATTAGACAAAAACTAATAGTTACATTCTATATTTTACAATAATCGACTGACCGATAAGTTCTCCTGCGTTCATCCAATTTTCGAAGCAATGCAGTAACGGACATGCTTGTGAGATAGAAAGGAGTACCATTTGTTGGAGGTTGTAGTACTAAGTTGTCAGGCTTTGTCACAGATCTAGTTAATTCACCTATACCAGTAATCACAGTTCCTTCCCTAAGTAATTCCTCTGTAGATTGAATACCTTTCTGACGAATTCCTATGCAATGAAAGAATAATACATAGTTACTCGATATGTTTATGCTCCACGGTAGAAATAGTTATTTTGAATTTAATATACCTGTGAAGAATCCCCACAGATGATCCGTAAAAGTAGGTACACTCGGCTCAAAATGATCTGACACAGTATCCATGTCTAGGACTTCTGCAGCCAGTGCATCGGATACTTCTACTTGATATCGTCCATTTTGTAAAGAAAAAGGTACAGAATTATATACCTCTTGCATTAGTCTTTCTTGATTAGACCTATAACATGTTATTTGATAAGATTAAATATATTGTAATATTTACTTAATTTAATATTTGAAATGATTTATAAACATGCACATAAATATATCTCTATAGTTTTGTAGTAATCTTTTTGCTGTTGTGATGTAATAAAGTAAACTTGCTGAAGTTAAAACAATATTTGGTAGAATTTTCATATGAGTGTTTATTTCTGAGGAATACATTTATAAATGTACTCTTTGGAGCTAAAGTGTTAATTACAATTATATAATCTTTCGAAGAAATTTTCAACGCTATTATAAAATACAAATTTAAAAACTCATACCAGAAACCAGCAGTAGACCTTGCGACCACATGCTCCTTAACTGTTATTTTTTGTACAACTCCTGTTAAGTCTTTATTGTGAACTCCTCGAAAAGGTCTACCCAATGGTTTAACAGCTCCTTTAATAGCTATATAGTCAACTTTATTATCTGAACTATTGTCTAATACTGCACGCAGTGCAGGACCCACGTCATATAAGTCGGCACTCTGTATAAATATAAAAATGTATAAAAATCTTAAAACAATGAAACATAATTTCTAAAAAAAATCACTTTGACATAAACGCTTCTTCAATAAATATTTTAAATAATGTATCGGCCAAATTATCTAATTACTTATCCATGTAACCATTTATCCTACGCTAAGTATAAAGTAAATTTTCATAAAAATGCAGTTCTTTAAAAAGCAACTATACAAATATTATTTCCCCCCTAATGTTTATTACATACAAAATAAGGTTTGGTAGAAATAGTAAATTTCTTTCTTCTACATCATTTACAAACCTAAACAAGGAAATATTGTTATTAATCAAATGCTGTCATTCCTGTGTATGCTATATTGTTTTACCATGTATTCGTTAAAGTTTAAACATACCTTGACAGATAAAATAGCATTCCTACAATGGAAGTATTGCTTTAGACAAATAGCAAAAACGATACCATCTATCCCAAGGACAATTAGTTCTCCGAGATAATTCATAGTTAGGTTAAATTAATAGAATTTGTGAGAACGATGCTACTCATTTCCCTGGGGTTCAGCCTTATATTTCTTCACTCATTTGATTAAATTTGACATGTTAAAATGTTTTGTTTTCACAAAGTGAATTGCTCAAATGTGTTGTCAGAAATTAATGCCTATGATTTTATGTTGACTGACGGATTATTTGGTATGCCTAGAGAGAGACTCTCTCTTGGGTACGATTTGTAAAATTCCGAAACAAACTGCCGACTGTATGTGTGTATGTATGTATGCTTTAACTACTTCGTTAATCCCATGAACGTAAGAATGGTTAATCCAAACCATGGACCTAGGCGTTTATTACGTATTTTTGACGAGAGCGCTCACTTCTCGCACTGTCATCTTACGTGGGTTTATTCGCCGATTTCCGTATTCGGTATATGAAAGAACGAGATCACTAGCACTTCCGGTCTAGTAATATTTAAAATAAAAGTACATACCTTGTAAATTGAAAATTGTGAGAGGTAGTGGGCAGTAGTGGGTTACAAGCAGGAAAGGCGGAAAGGTGCAGGAAGATGGGAAGCCGTTAAAAGTAAAGAAGAGGACTCAAGTCTATCTATATATTTTTTAAATATGCATTACATTCATATTTACATGTACTATAATTAGAAGTTCAATAATATAATTTTCTTATCATGTCATATAAGCATGAATTATTTAACAGTTTTCAATGTTTAATAATGAATATAACCTCGCAATATGAAAAGCTAACCTGTATGTACATACTAGTAAATTCTCTTGAGGAATGTAGGAAAAAACGAGGAATGTAGTTGTAAATAATGTTCACTTCCTTTATTATGTTTCTTTTGACTTGTTTTATAATGTTTTACAGTATCCCGCTGTATTTGAATGATGCAGCCACTGCTGGTTTCAAAATATTTTGCATCATATCATATCTCGATCAAAAATATTTACAAATATACAAGTACTGAAGACGAGTCAACGTTTATGACACATTAAAATTGCATATGTAAAAAATAGTCTCATATTTTATCATTTAAAAGACTAAAATTAATTAAGAGATAATTACTTTTTCTTCGAAACCTTAATAAGTACATCACGTTTCTCATTTGCTGTGTAAACTTGTAAAACAGCTTCTAAGTCATGATCAATATGCTTCCTACATTGTATTCTCAGAGAAAAGCGTTTTCGTGTAGGAATCATTCCTTCGGTAGGAATAACATTTAAGTACTCAGTGTTTGTCATAGAAGTTTCAAAGGGCTGTGCTACAGAACATGAACTTGATATCGTTACTGTAGCTTCACTTCTGTAAGGTGGTGATAGAGTGATTACGTGTGG